AAAATTTATTTTATATATATATATAAAAGAAGGCCAGCCTGAGTATTTCACAAACAGAATTTACTGAGTTTTCTTTTAGGGAGAGAAGTGGGAGGCACATTATCAGGGCAAAGCCATTCACAGAATAAATCTGGCAGCAAGAAGTACAATGGATAGGAGGAATAAGAGACAACTATTCCAATAATCTAGGTGGGAGGCGATAGGGGACCTGAACTAGGCAAGGAAAAGGACAACACACTGCAAGTAACAGTGGATATAAATTCTGTAGGACTTAATGAGATGTGAGCAAAGAGCTGATAATAACTGAGTTTCTAATAAGCTCAGGGAACAAGGAACAGAGTACTTGTAGTTACTGAAAAATGGGCAAATTGGGAGGAAAATCTAGTCTGGGGAAGCACTTTGTCAATATGACAGATTTGTAGTGCAAGTAATACACACTCAAGATACCTAGCTGAGATGTCCAGCAAATAACTAAAAATGCAGGGCTGGAAGGAGCAGGTGCGGGGACCCAGGGAAACACAGTAACCTGAATTCTCTCAACACATACACGCACGCGCGCGCAGGCAGCAGGTGAAGCTACTGAGAGCTGAGAGTGGTCTCCAAGGGAGATGGTGAAGAGAATGGAAGTTTGGACTTTCTGACCGAACCATAATCCAAACAACCCAGACACCTGTTTTTAAAATATGTTATTCATGTTGCTATCTTCTTTGGATCATCATCTGTCAATGAAAAGCCAGCATATTTCAGAGGTTCCTGGCCGTCCCACCTCTACCTCACTTCCCTAAGAGGCCCCGTTCCGTGACAGCATGCTCATCAGTGTCATGCTTCACAACACCTTCCCCAAGTTTCCAGTGTCTCACGAAATGGAACTAGACCTTGAATCCACAGTTAAAGGTCTGGCTGTTGTACTTCATGAAGGAGGATAGAAAACTAGGTTCAAGTAGCATATGAATCCATTAGCAGGTGAGCCGGCCAACAAGTACTCGGGGCTTTACTGTGTGTCAGGAATGGTTCCTATTATGAACAGTCTTGCTTTATAAAAATAAATACAACAAAGAGAAGAATTTCTAAATTGTGAGCAGCCTAAAACCCATAAACCTGAGATCTTTTGGTACAGCTGAATTCACATGCCATTTCCCATAATGTAATTAGTGCAATGGTTTTAATCGAATAGTTTTACACTATTTATAGAAGTCTCATTTAAGTAGCAGGTGAAGGGAAAAGCCCACTTTTGGCTTATGTTGAAAATAAACTATGTTGTCATTCCAGTTACTTATTGAGTGGAACCTTTGCTAATTCACCAGAATAAGTAAAAGGACCCAATATGAATTATCACATAAATGCTATTTTATTCATTAATTTGGAACATGCATTTAATTATAACTTTTGATAGTATCTAGCAATTACACTGCAAAAATTATTAGGACACAGATGCACAACAGTTTAAAGTCTTTCTGGAGAAAGGCAGTTACTTTGTGTGTGTGGTGAGAGGCTTTTAGGTGACTTATGTTTTATGTTCTAGCACAAAAAAATAGTTTTTCTTTTGAAAAATATGCACAAGGCAAAGTTTCAAAGCTCTATATCTAATGATCTGGAGAGCCACATAATCATATAATCATTTCTTCTGCAAAAGTCTGTAAATATTTCTTGCTATATGCGTAAGTGAGTGTGAATTTATGTCCTGGTGCCCTGTTAAAGACACATCAATGACAGGAACAGGGAGTCTCATTTACTCAATCTAATCTTCTTGGGCCATCTCTGCCCCTCACGACGTTTTATTACATAAGCAACTGAAAAACCGATAATCACCCAGGCAAAGCTCAAGGGGAAATGACGCTGCAGTTGACTGAATAGCCGCTATATACCAAACATGGCACTAAACTCATACTACATTATCTTATCTCATCCTCATGGCCTCCTTGTCAGGGAGGTGCCAGCCCTGTCTTAAAGATGAGCCAACTGAAGCTCAGGAAGTTAAGAAACTAGGCATAAAGTCACTCTCTTCCCAGTGTCAATAGGCAGATTCAGAATTCAAACCTGGATCTGTCACACTCTGGAATTCATACTCTGTTGAACACACCGAGCTCTCTTTGGGATTCCTGATGTCACTTGCCAATTGTGTTAGGTATGACTCCATCACTCCAGGAACAAAAATTCTCAACCATCCTCCAACCCATCCACCCTCCTAAAAGGATCTCAGTTTTATAACACTGAGCGTTGAGCCTGGGGGAAGGAAGGAAGCCCAGCTCAAGGCTCAGAAGTACCTCCTGAATCAGACCAGCAGTGATTCTACACTGGTTCAACTGGCTCAAACCCCCAAGCCAAGACTATGCTTGCTTCCTCAGATACACCTAACACACTCACACCCTCCGTGACCTGTGGGAAGCAGCAGAGAAGCACCACCTCATCTGGTGGTGGCTACACTACAGTCATGGGTGCAGCTGCCAGTCCACAAGTGGGAACCACACAGCACCTGAAACAGGGACAGTACCCCTTCCCTCCAGGAACCTCTCCATCCCCACAGGTTCATATGCAACTGGTACGTATTCACTTATTTGATTAATCTTATGACCTTGTTATTTAGTCACTGCTTGAAATAGACCAAACTTTCACCTTCAAACACATCAGGGTCCTTGGTCAACAAGACTTGTCAGTCAGTCAACAACTATTTGCAGAACACACACAAGTACACAGAATTTTATGGTAATTGATATACCTTCAACTCTCAAGGAACTCAAAGTCTAATTTGCCTTGTCTCCCTTATTAATCAGTCAAATATTTACGAAGCAACTTGGCTATGGAGCCAGTATTGTGTTTGATGCAACAGGGAAGTTTAGGGTAGAGTCTGTACAGACGTTACAGAAGGAAGAACCAAGAATACGATGCATTAGGTGGAAAGTGAAAGAAATGTCAAGGTCAGGCATGATTAACACTGTGGGGCAGGTAGCATGGGGGGAAAGAACAGGGTGACAAGCAAGTGCTTGGGTATTCAGCAGTGAATAAATCAGCAATGGGAGGTCAAGGAAGGGAAAGATGGGTGCATACTTTCATGCAGTCATTTGCTGAACAAGCAGATCTTGTGAATGCCAACTGTGAAGAGGAAGGCAAAGAACAAAGACAACTGTGCACAGGTAGTAATAAAAAGGTGCACTGCATTGAAATGAAGGATATGGAGTGACACATGGTGAGAGATTAGGATGCACTAGAAGAGGCTGGAACAACTGACATGTGTGTTTTACCTTCATAGCTCGTGGGGACTGAACACAGAGACTCCAAATACTCAGCTCACAGGACAAGAAGCCAACCTTTTGAGCAAGCCACCTTTTCCAGAAACAATCAAGCATAAGACCACACTTCTTTCTTCTCAGCCTTTGAAGTTTGGCGCGTCTTTTCCTAACTTGTTCAAATTTTGAGCATCTGGGTTTGCACATAAGACTTTTTTCTTTTTTTTCTAGGCAACAAAAGAATTGCCTTGACATCGGATATAGAGAAGACCTGACTGCTGGCGATGCCTCAGCAGTATACATTTCCATATTAGAGGCTCAAGATTTTAAACTGAAAATACAAAACCCCACCTCATTACCTTTTTTCTTGTGCTAAGAGAAAATGAAAAATACTTTGCAAGGAAACAAAACACAAGCCACAAGAACTTGCCAACACTGTCTGGCAGTGCTCAGAGCCTAAAGGGGCAGGGAGAGCCCAGACACACAGTGAGCACGGGGCACTGAGGTAGGTACTCACGGTTTTCCTCCTGGAATGCCTGTCAGGTTTGGAGGTATTGCTGGCACACGCATGTGATGGTGTGGATCAAATCCAACCTAAAATTTTTCCCAAGCAAAACAACGAAAACAAACGTAGTTATATTACCTCACTTCCTCCTATTCAGTATCTTTCTAAATTCTAAGAAAATAGATCTTCTAAAAATTGGATGTTAGTGATACATACTGAAGTAATTATTTATGAAATGGTAAGATGTTTATGATTTAATGGTCATATTTGGGGCTGGAACACACACACAAAAAATTAGAATTATCGAAGTTCATGATGGAAGTAAAGGATTTGTTATATTTATTATATTATTTGTTCTACTTCTGTAGGTTTAATTTTTTTTAAAAAAGGAATATAAAATTTAAAAATTCCCTCACCTTACAAAGAAAATAAATCTCACAATATAATTGCACGTAGTTTAATTTGTAAATACGTACAGGTTCCTCGGATGAATACTCAAATTATATAAACTACCTTCAAAAAAATATGTATGCCAATCCTCTGAGCCCTGAAACACTTGTACTCCGTAAGAGCCCACAGACGTACCACCGGGGACCTGCCGTAGGCGGCGGCCGCAGCCGCGGCAGCCGCAGCCGCACTCATCTGCGGGGAGATGTTGTGCAGCCCCGCGTAGGCCGCCCCGGGGCTGGTCAGCTCCCCGTTCATTCCGGCGTGGGGCACGATGCCAAACGGGGCTGGATACGGACAGGGTACTGCCATGGGGGTCCTCAGGCTTGAGGCTACAGACCAAAACAGAAGGAAGGAGAAAAACCAAGGACACAGGAAAAGAATACGTAAGACGTTCTTTTATGCGTTAAAAAATAGAATCCATAATTTAAATAAGCTGATTTTAACATTCTCAAAAGTCACTCAAGCCTTCATCAAGGTTCACGCATTCACCTTGCTTTACTGAACACCCACTATGTGTCGGATCTAAGTGCCAGGCACTTGGTTCACATTAAATAACTCTTAACAGCCATTTACTCAATGCTGGTCATTAGTCCTTTCCATGTATTGCACTCTTTAATTTCTTTAAAAACAAAAAGCATAAATGCATAGAGAAACGTTTTTCTTACGAACCCAAGGGGTCAACTCCTGGTGGTTTTCCGGGGACAGGCCTCAGTCCGGGAGTGGAATTACTGCCTGGGGTGGGAGCATCGGTGCGGGGAGTAGGGGTATTGGACTTGGACACAGGAGTGGTAGATTTTTCATTCTAACAAGAGATGTAATGAATACATTGGTAATTAGAACACAGTTTTAACCATGATGTTAAATATTTTAAAAGGTGAAGGAAAGGAAAAAGACATGGAAAAGATTCTTCAGCTTGGCCTTCATTAGTTTAAAGAAGCTAACAAAGAAACGAGAGTTCCCTGAGACCACAAAACCAATGTTCAGGAGAACATAAATCGAAGCTGAATTTGGGGCAGAGGAGACCATTTCCAGGAAACTGGTCTGAGTCAGACAGAGGCTGACAAATCGTGATGTCCTGATGTGACCGGTCACTTGCTGGCTGCTTTGATTTAAGACTGAGTGGTTTGCATTGGGTTCCTGGTGTACTGTTCGTGTTACAAGAGGCTCTCTGGTTAACAGGTCCCATTAAAAAACATCCAAGCCTGAATCAGCACAGAGATCAGCACAGAGGTGCCATTACAAGAAGACCAGAAGGCTGAGAGAAAGCAACCAAAAAAACCTTCATCCAGCCCTGTGCCAGGTGCATCCCCCTAATTTGCAGACAAATTGAGGGATTTCCTTTCCTTCAGCTATGGATTCAAAAGGTTACTTGAAACTGAATTTAAAAAAAATGTTATGTTACAAGGAAATAACTAGTGAGGAAAAAGGAAGACACATGACATAAAAATGCAATTAACTACACAGTCACAGAAGAAGGGGGTATAGGAAAGATTACCCTGACTTGCAGTTTCATTTTCGCATTTGTGATTTGTGGTGTGAGTCAAGGTAGACTTTTATAAATGACAGATTACTTTCTAGATAGCAAGGGAAAATTACTGCAGTCATATACAGCTTGGTAATTCAAACAAAATCATATCCAAGCCAAAAACTAAATTTACCATAAACCACAGGTGACAAAACCATCTCTGTAACCCCAGTGTGTATTTCTTCATCTTCGCTGAGACACATTTCACTCAATTTCCCCATATCCCTCCCCTACTTGTAAAAAGACTCATAAAACAAACATCCATCATCGACAAGTCAGTGAACCCATTCTGTTCCCAAACTACATTTGTCAATTAAACTTGAATACTGAATATACACATATATTTGGAAATAAAAGTCCTATAGGAAAATACCAAATTTTAAAAATAATTAAATCTAACCATCCTGAAACAGGAAACACTTAAGAAGGATGGTGACAAACTGCTTACAAGGCTAAGTTCTTTGGATTTGGAGGAAGGAGTACTGCTGGAGGATGCGATTGAGGCTGGACTGATTGGGGCGTCTTTCTTGAGCAGGCGTGTCTTGTCCAGGCCATTCTCTCTCGGGGAATGTGCTGGGCTCCCTCGAGGGGAAGAAGGATCCTACAAAGGAACACCGAGGGTATTAAACGCAGCACAGTGCATGCACAATGCCAGAGTACTTGGTGTGGACGTTTCTAGCTGAAAGTCTTCAATAGCTTAGAAGTGAAAAATGTTCTGGAATAGATAGTGAGACTCATCGAATTGCTGAAGAAAATGTTCAGTATCGAGGTCAATGAAAATACTACAATATTTATAGTATTTCTTTAAAACAGAAACAAAAATCAAAACTCTACAGATCTGCAAGTCACTTGTCAATGAGACATGTAGGCTGACCACAGATGTCTGGTGTGCATTTATGGTGGTAACAAACACACTTGCACTTCATAGAAAACAAGAGCAATTTAAAAATGATCATTAATACATAAATTTTTCAGGGAGATAAAATGTAGGTCCCTTTAGAAATTAAGAAAACTTTGTGGACACTAATTGTTTGGACACTAGTCACTGTTAAAACTGGGTTAAGAGCAGGAGGTTAAATGAGCCACAAACATACCTCATTGGAAACGTCAACCACCAAGTTGTCATCACTCTTCTCACCATCGCTGTCCTGCATTGACAATTGAGAAGCATTATCTCCTCCCCCAGCAAAAAAAAAAAAAAAAAAAAAAAAAAAAGCAGCCAGATTTACCCTAGCTAAGTCTCCACGTTTTATAAAAATGAACTGCACCAAACAGTGCTAAAAACACTCTACAATGAACTGTGTTCCTTAATGATGATGTTACGAGGTAGGTAATGTGATGATTCCATCTTATGGCTTCCTTGCTCCTCTAGTGTATCAGCTGCAAACTAGCACGCCAAGGCTACATAATCCAGTCTACAGATGGCCAGGATTTGTTCTGGCAGGATTTTTTAAAAAACTGGATAAGTAACCACAATTTTAAAGTTGAGAGGTTTCACATGTTCAGTCAAGATTTCAGCTTTTTCGAGGCCTGCAGTCTTGTAGGGCCCCCCGCAGGAAGCAGAGCGGAGCCTGCTCACGTCCACACCAGGGAACCCTGCCCAGCTTGCTCCCTTCACTGAGTGACCTGCAGAACCAGCCACTGAAGGAAAATGAGCTTCAACCCATGCTTGGGACACATCTGGATGCCTCTGTAACTTATATGCACGCAACTGGCTACATTCCTCAGCACGGGAGGCCATGTAGACATTTTAACAGGTTTTCTATGATTTTACAATTTTCCTTAACGTTTCTAGCAGACCACAAAAAATCCGACCCCCCTGAAACTTACAGAGGGAAGCAAGTACATCCACAGAAGTAATACAGAAGGCCCAGGTCTTCTATCGGAGCCAGACAAAGCACCATTTCCCGGCTCACATAGACACGTGCACTCACCACACATACACAGGCTTCAGGCAATTGAGACACAGCTAGAACTGCAATAACTACTTTCCTCTCCTTGGATTTGTCGTCTTAAGTTCTAGTTTTGGCTGGTCATAGTAAGTGGGTAAAAAGCTGCTAATGAGAAAGCAATGTCAACGGCCTCCCCGGAAGCAAAGGTGAGTGAACATACATAACGAGCTGCGATCTCCTTTTCCTCGGTTTTCTGCTTTTTGCTGTCAGAGGAGTAGTCTGTGGAGTTTCTGTGCTTCTCAGCTCCTCGGAAACTGGCTGACGGGGAGACCGAAGAGCTCTGGAATGAGAAAGGCAAGTGGGGTTGAGAAACGGTCAGCCATTTAATGATACGATTTTTTTTTTTTAAATCACATGAGGCTGTATTTCCTTTTCGTTCACTGGTACACACTCAGAGATGTTAAAGAAGACAGGAGAGGGGGACAAAGTGAAAGAGAACAGAGGTACAGAGAGAAAAACAGGAGAAAAAGAAAAGGGGGAAAAGGAAAGAACAAGACAGTAGAGACAGGACAAAGGGAGTCAAGGAATACAAAGGGAGACAGGCAATAGTGCAAACGCAAAAGGCAGAGGGGGTTTTGGTCTAAAGGAGAAGTTTATACCATGTTGAGGAAGGAAGCAGACACAAGAGAAAGAGGAGGAAGAAAAGACTGGCTTTTTTTTTTTTTTACCTCCAAATCTGCTGGCTAATGGGAAGCCAGGATCTGAAGCCTCTACAGAGAAACTGAATAGAGTCTGGCCTGAGAGATAATTAGTAATTCTTCAATTTAAAAAAAGGTGAGGTACTCTTTGGGGATTTAAGCACCCAGATATGGTGATCATGTGACACAAAGGCCATATTTACAGAATTTTGCTTAGTCTCGAAAATGAGGGCCTGGGAGAAGAGGATGGCAGGTAAAACAACAACAACACAACGGCACCTGCAAAAATGCACTTCATTCCTCTTCTCACTGCTAGAGTTTTCATGATCCTGCTCCCTTTTTAATTTCTGGAAATCCAGGAACCCCACTAGGACAAGGAATGGAGAAAGATGGTCCCTCCCTCTGGGGATCACACTGCGGGCAATCTGTATGGGCTCAGGCCACTCCTGAGAGTTCTCAACTGGAGCAGCACCACACACAGGAAACAAACACCGCTGACAAGGTCTGAAGCACAGAGAACGAGTCTGTCTGCCATTAGGGACAGGTGGTTACTGGCCACAAGTAGATGGTATGACTACTTCTTCATCCATGGTTTTAAGCAAAGAAAGCATTGATAAACACTGGAAATGCCCTTAAAACTGGCTGATGACTCAGTCCCAGACAGACCAAACAGAAGCTCCAAATAAAGGTGAGGTGTAAGAGAGGGGGCAGGACTGAGAGCAGGGCTGACCTGCTGAGGGAGGACTGCAAAGGCCCAAGGAGCCAAGGCCCCAGCAGGGCGCTAGGGCAGGAACCCCCAGGACTAAATTAGCCCAGTCGGGGTGAGAAAAGGCTGCTCTTGGAGGGCAGAGGAAAGAAAACTTGGAGAAAAGAAAAAAAAAAAGCCCTGGGAAGAACAAAGAATCACCACCACTCTTTGCCTGGCATCCAAATCAATTCAGAAAACTGTTCAGTAAAGTTCTTCCTCATTTATAACTTAACTCTTTATATACATCATTTACTTTATATAAAATTAACTCCGTGTATTTTCCCCTTTATGTAGTCTGTTAGCAATAATTAACATTCATAAAGATGCACCAAAATTTACAAGAGCCTTGTAAGTAACTATGGAAGGCAGTGTGATATCCAGAACTTTGGGCTCTATGTTCTGTTTTACTGCCACTGAATCAATAAGGCCACACTCTCTTTTGTGACTGAACTTTCAAAGCCTGTTGTTAGAAGAAAACCAGTAGACTTTTTCCATGCCTTGGTTAGTATCGCTACCAAGAGATCACTCCCCTAGTGGTCAGCTGTGGTGATGGCAACTTTACCACTGGCTCCAAAAGCAGGGGCGCAGGGCAGGAGCTTGGAGGGGGAGGAGGACGAGAAGGCGCAGTGAGCGGGCTCCCACTCACAAGGGCTGGAGAGCTCTAAACTCTCCTTCCTGTGTCAGTCCCTCTCAAGATTTTATAAGATGACTCCACCTGTATGCACCAACCCTGCAACTATCGAACATTCACTTTCAGGTTTGGTGGCAGGAAAGATGGCAGGCATTATTCATTAGCGAAAGACTGAAACTAAACATCAGAAGCCAAACGATTTTAAAAAGTGGACTTCTCTTGACTTTCCCAGATCTCCACTGAGTTCCAATTCTCATTCCCAGGCCACAGGACTCAGTTCAACGCTTCTGCTTTGCTTTCACACCATGACCCAACGCAATCACATTTTTCTGACCATTACTCCATTGGAATCATGTATACACACATCCTCTGTGAGTCACTACCTCCCGTATTTAATGCCAGAACCCCGTATCTAGTTTTTCCTCTCTCTGGTCTCTATCCTCCACACTTCTGGGATTCATTTCCCAGAGATTCAACCACTTCTCATCCTTCCTTTAAAATGACAAAAAGGTTTCCCACCATCCATAGAAAAAAAAAAGTCCAAACTTTTGAGTATAGCTGATTTCCAAAGCCCTTCACTCCCTGCCCCAATCCAGGGCCCCGCCTGATCTCAGAGCTATGGGCTTGTGGCTCCCCAGTGCTCCATCTACTTTCATTGCATCAGTAGCCTTTTTCCCTCGGTTACCCTTTCCCTCAGTATCTCCCTTTTGAAATCTTCCTCATTCTTGAGAACCAGCTCTAACGTCACCTTTCAAAGCTCACTCAGACAGTGTCAGGCAGAATTAATCACTCATCTCTCTTTGTTCCTTTAACATTCTGTTCACCCAATGAATGCAACACTCTCCATCGATTTATAGCTGTTTGTTGACAAGGCCAGTCCTCACTCGAGTCTCTGGGTTTCTGGGGCAAGGGCACTGGCAATATGGCAGCTCTGCCCCTTCTTTACCGACTCCTTTACCTTCTTCTACATGCTTTCATCCTACTAATTTGGTGTTTTACAAAAAGAAAAACTGAGTGCACGTGTGCAAGATTAACAACTATCTGAGCCTTTTGATCTTAATACTATACTGAACATTATTTCTAAACCTGTCCAACAGGAAAAACTGATTTCTGAACAATGAAAAAAATACTTTTTTAAAAGTTAATACTAATAATAAATGGTAATGCTTTACTTACATCTTTATAGTTACTTATTGGCATACATGAATAAATAAAAAACTGGCTATTTCAGGCGCTGTGGGCAGTATTTTGTGAATTTTACTGTAGAACAGAGTCAGATGTTGAAAGTTCCTGGTAGAATGATAAAGTAGTTAATTATCACTAGCATTTAAAGGTTAAGCTGTACAATAGGCACTGGAGCAATCAGCAATGTTCTAATAACATAATTGCTCTAGAGTCAAATTGGACTTGGCACAGACTCTCATCATGAATCTTACAAGTCCACCATTCTGCCACTGGAAGGCCATTTGGATCTTTGCTGGGCACGTGAATCAGAGGAATTAAGTAAATACTGATGAAGACAAAGTCACACTTTTACAAGAAAAGCTTATTTTTATTTCTCTATTGTTATTTTAAAAGCTTAGGTAGGTTAGACATTTTTCTAATTTACAACATAAGAAACTTACTGCAGCTTGCATTATGACTCTGTATAAATCTCCAAATTTAGAAACATTAAACATAAATCTTTCTCATTACAGTTTGATCATATAAATATACCATCAAATGTGTTACGAACAATGAGTCACAATCAGAAAGCAGTGGCCAAATCTGGTGAGGACAAAATACCTTAAAAGTGAATGGTTTAACAAGAAAAAATAATAAAAATGTCTTATTATATGAAAATCCTAATTGCTTTGGTAGTAAAAGATACGTTTTAAAGTCAGTTGTTCCCAATATTATATCATACTATCTCAAAATGAGAAAAATTTTAGATCCTAGTTTGAAATCCAACCGGGATTTGACCTACGCTATCAACTAAGTCTGCCGTAAAGCTGCTCCTTTAAATGTACTTCATTGAGTACAGAACTTAATCTGGGGGAGGGACATTCACGGGGAGTTGTTTATGGCAGTGGGGGCGGGGAGGACAGAGGAAGCAGGCTCAGAGTCCTCTAAGACCCTTTACTGATGCTGTAACCAAAGCCCTCCAGCAATCTACAGGGGAGGCCCTGCCCCTATACCTTGACTCCTTAGCCACCTCAAGATCAAAGATGACTTTGTATGAGAAAGAGTTCTACAAAGTATTCCCCATCCCAAAAGAGGTAGCATTGTTATAATTAGTTAATTTTAATAACGGGTAGCACAGATTTTACTAGCAGGCAAGCCTCTCTGGAGTCAGACTGCCTGGATTTGAGTCTAGAGTCTTCCATTTAATAGCTGCATAGCCTTGGGGATGTTGCTCAGTCTCCGTCAGTCTGTAGTCTGTAGTTAAAACCCCACCCACTCCCTCAGCTGGGCTGCTTTGAGGACTAAGTGAAAGAAGCCACATAAAGTACAAGGCACAGTCCCAGTAACAGCGCCTCAGCACTGTGACTGAGTGCTGCCCTCTATTTACTACAGAGCTAGTGTGGATCTTCTCTTTTAAGCTTTATGTAAGGACTATTCTAGGCATTTGGGTGGCACTGTCTTTCAGCAGAGATATTCAGATGGCCCATAATGATGGGGTTTCAATAGGCTGCTATAAAGCAAAACACGTCTCCTTTCAACAATTAAGGTTTTGGTTCAATACTGCAGGCAGGATTATAAATACCACCTCCACGATGGACTAAGTCAATTTCAAATGCACATCAAGCTAATTCTGCTTTCTGTTAGCACAGGTGCAGTGCTCAGATGTCCCTGCCCACTTACAAGGTTCCCACCAGAAAGAATACGCAAAAGGTCGAGTGGACAACCATGATCAAAAATTCTAAAAAAACCCTCATTTGTTATGGTTTGTCTGCTCAACTGCTATGGCCTTCAAACACCCCATCTCCTTGGCACCAAAGGGTGAATCTGTTTTCAAACAGATAAAGAGGAGAATGTCAGGGCAGAGGGCACCACGAAAATCTGGCTAAGGTGACTGCAAGTCCTGGCTTGTCCCCACTTTACATCTGTTGTCCAAAGTTTCCCTTCTTTTAAAACCAGTCTGGTTTAGAAAATGCATATACTGCTACCATGACTGTAGTTCTTTCATGACAGGAATTAGTTTGGGTCCCGGACAATTCAGGGAGAGTTTGTTTATGGCAGTGGGTGCGGGGACAACGGAGAAGGCGGGCCCAGAGCCCTGC